TGGTGCTGCCACGTCTGGTGCAGCCCGTTCGGAGCCCGTGCTGCTGCCTGGAGCGGAGATGGGCGCAGGTGCCCGTGCAAGCACCCAGGGTGCCAACGGCAGACCTCCGGGATCCGCTCTATCCAGTGCACGAATACCTGCTCTTAAACAGATTTAAGGAGGTTAATTGGGCTGGGATGTACACAGTTGCGTTACGTCTCTAATAGAAATGTTGATTCAAGAAGCCACGGCTCTAGTGATTTTTGTACTACTGTAATTATTTTGAAACTTTCTTTTCGGCACTGTTGATAACAGCTTGGCACCCTGCCTGCATGACCTGATTAAACTTACAAATTGTCAGCCTTGATCTATAGGACACAGAAGAGATTGCTGACTGAGCATCACTTTGGAAATTCTCGATCTAAAACAAAAATTAGATTTCAAATGTTCCCAACAATACAGTGCAGGAGCCCTGGCGATTTTAAACACACACTCACTATCCCAGCATCGCGATAGCAACCAAATTCCTGCACGGCCAGGGCAAGTTTAATTCTTCTGGTCTGTCCTGAGCCATGAGCAGACGCCGTGGAGCGGCCGATCCCAAGGCCGTGCCCACAGTGCTGTCTCCACCGTTTCCATCCTCCCATGTGAAATTCCAGCTCCACCTGTGTGGACCCAGAGGCCGTGGGCACGCGTGGAAACCGCTGCGTCCTCGGGATTTGTGCCGGTGGGAGCGGCAGCACCTCCCGCTTTTTGCCTGGAGTCTCTTGTAGTTGAGGAGCGAGTGGCAGCTTTTTCCCTGGGCATTTTAAACCGACGCTCGGACCTCGTAGGAAGGGCGGAATCCAGTGGTGTGAGTCTCCATCAGAGTAACCTGGTGCTTAGATCCGTTTGGAAGGAAATGAGAAGTGAATCAATTATTTACAAATAAATAATGCACTTATTTTTACCACACGCTGTTGCATCAGGGTGATGTAATGTACAGGATAGTGCCAGCCTTGCGTAGAGTCAGCCTAGTCTTGGAAAACAACCGGAAGGTGTACTGTACTCATGTGAATACTCCTTTAATACTTACAATGAGGTGTTTAAAAGTTCTGCAGGGTCCTTTAAAAGCCTCCTGAAGATGTTCCTGCTCTGTACGGGAACCAAGAATGTCCTACAGCGCTGCCGTCACCCCGTGGCACCTGCGTGGGCTGTGGTTCCCGGGGCCTGCCCCAGAGTGGGGTGCCCCCCTGGGTGCCACGGCAGGGACGGAGGAAGGGCTGTGGGCAGGTCTGGGCCCCGCGGGGCAGGAGGGCTCCTTGCAGGCGTGCAGCGAGCGGGCAGCGGCCGGGCAGACGCAAGAAATACTGACTGTGTTTTCTCTTGTTCTCTCTTTTCTGCCCAAGGTTTGAGCATCCGAGGAGCCCAGGAGGAAGACCCTCCCGATCCCCAGCTAATGAGACTAGACAATATGCTTCTGGCAGAAGGA